GGACAAATTGTCAAGGGGAACCTTTACCTTTACCTTACCTTTGTTTCAGTGGCAATGGTGGCGAATTGTTCCCTGTAAATACCTCTCCCCTCTCCTTGAGGTCAGGTGGCTGCAGCTGGAAGAGGATTGTGTGTGTGGATCCCCAGAGAATGGAAATGTCCTTTGTTGATTTACAGCAGAACACAACCTTGTATGAAAGCTTGGCCATTTTAATAATCCCATCTGCAGCCATAACGTAAATCAAAATGCTTAGTACACAAGCACCCTGAGTAAATTCTCCATTCGCTTCAATGAATGGAGTAGTCAAGAGGTCAGTGGGGGAAAAAACAGCTTAGTGACATTTACATGGTAATTTAAAGTGGTGTTTAAATTCTGAGAATGAGTAACTGTTAAGAACTCGGGGAGGGGGAGGGTGCTTTCTAAAAGTAACTTGAAGTACATAAATAAAACTGGACCTGAATCAAGTAGGATTAAGTAAGTGTATTTCCACCAGCAGCATGTGCTAGGCTTCCCAGAATTGCCAGACTCCTTTCTATGGGTTTGTCTGACACCTTCGAGGCCTGGTAGGACAAGTTGCACAACTGTATTCAAGCTGAAACAAAAAAAACACCCTCCATTTATATGGTGAACAGAGGAAGAAGGCAACATGTTGTGACACCCGTGAACCGGGTAGAGAGGTGATGCTAGGAGTGCCGTCTCGCCCCAAAGCCTCCGTGGGCACGCAGACAGCTCCCAAACCATTCCCACCCCGGATGTTACACCAGTCCGTGGACACAGGAGATTTAGAGAAGGGAGTGAAGGGGTTAAGTATATCTACCCAGACTCCTCGGGTCTGGGCAGGGAGGGGGACGAAGGACCCTGAGGAGGGAGCAGCAGGGGAAGTCAGTTACCGACCGTTAGGGGAAGAGAGTGGATGGGAGTGGGTATCCATCCAAGACCCCTGGTCAGGTAAATGGGAACAAGTCTGCCTGACGAAACAGGAGGCAGAAGAGAGGAGGAGGAATGAGGCTAGGGTCCGGCCCTCTTATTGGGGAGAAAGAGAGACCCGAGAGTGGCGTAGGAAATTAGTAGAGGAGAAGAAAAGGGTAGAGAGAGAGAAAGAGGAGAAGACCAGATGGCATCTGGAGGAGTTGAAGAGACTGGGTTATCGCCAGGACCTTGGGATCAACCCGGGGCAGAGACCTCCATACCCTGGGGATACGCAGGGTTCGAGGAGACGACCCCTCTACTAACAACTGACAGAGAAGACTTCGATCCCGAAGAACCCTCCCGGGTTCAGGCTGGCCCATGGGCGTCGAAGTCAAGTAACCCGTTCGACGAAGATTGGGTGCCCCTGTATGAACCGTTACTTCAGCAGGAGAAGTTTGTCCCCAAGTTGATTGACGTTTCCATCCCGTTACCCCAGTTAAATAAAGAAGACAAATGGTTCAGTTCAAATGTGTCTACAGCTTTATTTGGGACGGGGGAGGTGAAGAATAACGAACCCTCACACATGTACTTAAACAGAGGGTCCTACTCCTGTCCCCACCCACTGAAACCATACTGTGTTTCCTCCATGTCTCTACGTTAAGTAACAATCTCAACCAACAGAGCCTCGGTAAAGACTTAAGCACCTGGAAGCCCTGCTGGTTCAAAGATGTCTAAAGCACGTCTATTGGTGGGTGTTGGAAGATTGGGAATCCAATCAACCTTGAGGGCAGGGCCAGCATCTGGGTCCCAGGTAAAGGTAAAGGTTCCCCTTGACATTTAGTCCAGTCGTGTCCAACTCCAGGGCGCGGTGCTCATCCCTGTTTCTAAGCCATAGAGCCAGCGTTTGTCCGTAGACAGTTTCCGTGGTCACATGGCCAGCGTGACTACACATGGAATGCCGTGACCTTCCCATAGAGGTGGTACCTATTCATCTACTCGCATTTACATGCTTTTGAACTGCTCAGTCGGCAGGTGCTGGGACAAGCGACAGGAGCTCACTCCATCGTGTGGATTCGATCTTACGATTGCTTGGTCTTCTGACAGAGGCTTCTGCGGTTTAACCAGCAGTGCCACCACGTCCCAGAGCCCCCGTTTAATTCTCCAGTACCCTTTCACAGACATAATGATTGGAGGAGCCAACATTCAGAGGGGAAGAATTCTCAGATTCTTCCTCTTAGCCTGAATCTGCTTACAGAGGTTCAAACTGATATTCTTCTAATTCAAGCTCCCCCTCCTCAAACACACTATTTATGGACACGGCTAGATTTAGCGTGTTGTGTAACGAAGGAGCATCATCTAGCCAGAGTGACAACACTTCGGGTTCCCATGGGTTTTAGCTATTCAGGGTTCAAGATACTCAAGAGTTCAAGCTTTCCATTGAAAACCAATGGGATGCAAAAGTGCTTTACCTCTGGCTGATGGTACTCCAGATAGACAAGAATTGCACATTAAGGTCGCTACTTAGCGTTATTGCTCTCAAATTCATTGCCGGTGGGGTCAAAATCATTGACACTGGATCCCAGCTTTCAGATTCTGTAATAATTCGTTTTGAGCGTGGCCATTTAGCCAGAGCTCCTACCCGCACAATTCCCTCATGTTCTGCTAAAGGAAAATCGGGTGGGGGGGGCAGCATTAGGGGCCCTGAACGTCTGACAGAAGAGTAGAGGTGGTTAAAGCTCCCACCAAGTCCCCAACCATAGCCTGCACATTCTTCTGCTGAGAGACCACCAGACCTTAAGTCAGGCTAGAGGACTTTTGAGCCACCCCTAGGTCCCAGATCTTTTCCATTCCTTGCTGATACCTTTCCTTCCGCTCCCCGATGCCCATTTGATGAGTTCAGATCTTTTCCATTCCTTGCTGATACCTTTCCTTCCGCTCCCCGATGCCCATTGGATGAGTTCGTTATAAGAAATTCCCAATGTGTCCAGGGCGAGAAGAAAGGTCATGGTAATGTCATTAAAAAAAGTTAAAATATACACAACACTCACCATACAAATATAGATACCCCGTTTCTCCCAGCAATTAAAATTATAAGAAATTCCCAATGTGTCCAGGGTGAGAAGAAAGGTCATGGTAACATAATGGCATTTTGCTGTTACCTATTCTGGGTAGGCTAAATTGATTCCAAACACAGGAGGACCTCAAGGCTTGTTTGTGCCTTCCCTACCCTCTGAAAAATTCAACCAAATCTCCAAGAGGGGTGGGTTTTTTTAGCCAGAACAAGGTATAGCCACTCACATCTTTTTAAGGGAGAATTCCCCCCTGCCGAAAACTAGGACGACACATGTTTTCATCTTCTTCACTTTCCTTATTTGGCCAGGGTGGAGTGGGGTGGAGTGGACCAGTGGCAAGAGCTGGGCGGGCCCTGCTTTTCGGTTGCTCTGGTTCCATCCTGCAGGATTGGCTTCTATGAGACGACCAAGGTAGAGGTACAGTATAACCCAGGGGCAGCTGGACTCTCAGCAAACCCCCATGGAATGCCTGCTGCTGCTTCACAGCTCGTGCGTGCCGACGGGTGTGCAGAGTGCTCCAGAAAAATGGTGCCATTGCTACTCGTGATCACTAGGTGGAGATGTCACTTCACAAGTGAGCAGTGGAGTCCTGCGGTAAAGCACCTCTGAGTTCTCTCTACCTAGAAAAACCTGGAAAAGGGTTGCAGTAAGCTGGAGTTGACTTGATGATGGGCATTCACCCACATATGTGCGTGCCTTTGAATCTGATTTGTGTAGGCATCCTTCAGTCTCAAGAGACTATGGGAACGTGCTTTGCA